GTCTGATGAGTGCTTCATTAGTATTGGATATATAATTTGGAAGAATGCCACAGGACGAACTGGTCGATTGGTAAAGCACTCACTGTCACAAAGGCATCTTAATGCTGCTGCTTCTTGGGCTGATTTTGAGAATAATCAGCAGTCTCAACGCTCCAGATCAACACTAAGTCAGGCACGGAAGGATCAAATCCAGAATAACAGGCATTATTTGATGACTATAGTTCAAATTTTACTATATTCTGCCTTTCAAAAAATAGCACTGAGAGGACACAGGGAAGGAGAAGATTCACAAAATAGGGGTAACTTCTTTGAATTAATTGATTTAGTCAGTAGACATGATTCAGTAGTAAAAAATAAAATTCATGATGCACCAAAAAATGCAAGTTATACATCACATGGTATCCAGGATAAGTTACTTGCACTACTGGCTAAAAAAGTGCTACACAAAATCTGCCAAGCTGTAAAGGAAGCCGGTTTCTACAGTATAATAATAGTAGATGAATCCCAAGATTCATCCAAGCAGAAACAGATGTCTTCAGCAGTTCGTTACGTAAATATTGAAGAAGGATGTGTCCATGAGCATTTCATAGCATTCATGCAAGCAGAGCATCAAGATGCTGAAAGCTTATCTTCTTACATAAAACAGGCTCTCATTACTTATGATTTTGATATCAATAAGATGGTTAGCCAAGGATATGATGGGGCTAGCGTAATGAGTGACCACTGTTCTGGAGTACAGACAAGAGTCCGTGAGTTTGCTCCTTTAGCAGTTTACATTCACTGCTACGCCAATGTGTTAAACCTTGTACTGGTTGATTCTGTAAAGTCTGTAGCAACAGCTTCTGAGTTCTTTGTTTTGTTGGAAGCACTCTACGTCTTAGTGTCTTCTTCTAAAATCCATGCCCTATTTGTCAATTTACAATGTCAGTGTAACCCAAATCAGCAACCACTGGAGTTACAAAAACTCTCAGTGACTCGTTGGGTTTGCAGATACGCTGCTGTTAACGCAGTCAGTCGTACATACAATGCACTTCTTCTTACTGTAGGTGTAGTAGCTGATGCATCTGTCAGTGAATACACCCAGGCTATTGAAGCTAGGGGTCTATATGATCAAGTCAAATCATTTTCCTTTATCATTAGCCTGATTACATTTGATCGAATACTATCATGTACTACGCAGCTTTCTGATCAGCTACAAAGCAATAACATAGATCTTTCTCATGCTGCTGACCTTGTATCTGGTACACAGGCTTTGCTGTCAGAATATCGAACAGATACCTATTGGGAGAAAGTGTATCATTATGCAACAGAAGTAGCCAAATTGCATGATGTAAACACTAAAGTGCTAGTAAGAAGGAGAAGGAGACCTACTGACTTGATCGACAGCTTTGTATATGAGAGTACTGGGGTGAGGGTGATTCCATCTACCAGAGATGAGTATAAGAGAGAGCTATACTCTCCTGTACTAGACAAGTTCCTTATCGTAGGTTTCAAGATCAAAATGTCACTATTATGAGAGGAATAGCTTCATGTACTCCAGCAGTATCAAATTTTTTATCATTACAAGACCTCAAGTCCTCAGAAATGTATAACATTCCCACAGAACCAAATCTGGAGATTGAAGTTAGACTGATAAAGGCTCTGCCCAAAGGCACGATTGGAGATAGTCTAGCATCATTTAGAAACTACCATTATTCTTGCAAACCTGCATACCACACCCTACATGAGTTAGCACAAATAGCTTTAAGGGCACAGTCTCAATGTCAGAGTTTTGATTTAAAATATTGCAATTTCAAAGATCTTAAAGCATATTATTTATTCTTGAATATTAGTTTTACCTAAGATTATCGTAACCATTTCATTAGGTCATAAAGTAAAATGCTGTCAGAATTTCAAAAGTCTACTTCTACTTCATTTGCAATAAATTTGCAACTCTTAATTCTTTTTGATTCATAAATTTATTTTTTTTAATTCACAGACTATTTTAGTGCTCAATGATACAATCATTTCATAATATGGAATTCAATTAATGCTTAGTTTACAATGCGAAAATTTTTAATTAAATTTGTTCATATCAAAACTACTCTGTGTTTCTTTTAGTGAGATAATTTCAGTTGCAAAATAAATAATTATCATTAGTTCCAATTTAGTAAGGTTTTTTAAGGCCTTAAGCTACTATTTTCATTTGCAGCCATCTTACTGCAGCAAAAGAAGTAGCCACTTCATGAATAAACACAGTATTCATTGTCTGATGACAAAATTTGCATCATAGTCTCACTGTGAATTGCTAATTAAATTAAACAATTTTAAATGAAATGCCATGAAGGAAACAAAGGAAAAGATTTGATGCTCTTCACAAGGCTAGGTGGACTGCCAGGACAGGATTTTCAACAGCTGCGACATTTATTTCCTTTACTACTGTCACAGAAAATGATGACAGAAACTTTGATGAATCTGAAGTGACAGCTACACCAAAAAGGGAGAATCAAAGCAATTCAGATGGAACAATGGAGGTCACTCCAGTACATTTTCAAAATGAACCTGATTTCAGCTTGGATACTCCTGAAGGACGCAACTCTGGTGAACTACCTAATAGTAATTCAATCTTCATGGGTCAAGTAAGCCAAATGTGTAAATTTGTTGATCAGATTAATATAACACCTAAATGTGCCTCACCATTATGTATTGGTAAGCTAAAACTTGTTTGTGCTAGTATGATTGGTCAACAAGGTTGTGTTACTGTACAATATCATTGTACTGGTTGTGCTGAGAGACATGTTGCTTTTGAGAGCTCAATTAGGCATGAGACTGAAAACTGTACAGCAGTTGGTCTTGCCCTGCAAA